TATTCTTTCTAGCAAAATTAAGTTCAAGCGAATCCGTCAAGACTGCGCAAAGTTACGTTTTATTGAAAATGAAACGACAGAACTTTCGGCGAGACTTAATAAAAGCGAGAAGACCGCTCCAGAAGGTAGACGCGATTACGCTGGCTCCGCCCATCGACGTGGGTGGTCTGAAGATTACAAGTCCCAAATTGGGCTTCAGAGTAGAAAAGGTCGCGAATTTGAGGATAATGAAGCACAGATTTTGGCAATTCTGGGTACATAGACTTTGGACCTGTCATTTTCAGATCGCTTATGTCGATGGGCGGAGCCAGCGTGTTGCTTTTACTGTCCGAAGCAGTTTTCTCGCTTTGGAATTCATTTTTTTGCAAGGAAATTTGAACGATTGTTCCATCAGGGGCCCGCTACTATATGTACCAAAATATAAAATAATGTGCCACCCACGAAATTTGGTTGGACGAAGCCTTTAGTTTTATTTTTTCATTTTTACGTTAGGCAGTAAGTGCAGTTGTCAGCTGTTGTGCAAGATTATAATCGCTTTGTTAAGGCAAAATGGCCAGCATACCAATAACAACAACGTTATTCGCACTAGTAGTGGTCGAACAGTGAGGCGAGTGCTGTACGACGACGGTGGTTCAACACCTGATGTTGACGCATCTCCACGTCCACTCAAGGTTGGGCTCAACCAAGAAACAAACAACGTTTCAACTCTTGATAATACCGTTGTCAAGTCGTCCAAACGACATTCCGCACGTTCAAACGGTTACGTGAATACGGACTACGTCCTTGATGATGATCTCGATTACGACAGCGAGTCGTCGACAATCACGAAGAGCAAACGAAAACGAAAAAGTTGGTTGTTAGGAGAGTCTTTCGAAACGTTCGTAATAATTTGTTTATAGACGCGGATGAATTCACAGAATCACCTTTACGAAGTTTTGCACCTACACTGCGTGATCCCGATCTGTCATCAAGAGCTAGGATCGAGGAGCTGGAGAAACTTATACGAGAGGCTATGCGTGAACCATATGCGTGGCCTTTTCTGGAACCTGTGGACAAGAAGGAGGCAAGTTTTCTTGTGCCATCACGGTAGGCTTTTTGATGCAGAAGCTTTGAGCACTTTCTTACATTAAG